GATGCCAATTACAATTTTTTTCGCTCATATCATCAACGAACCTTCATATTACTCAACATAATTCAGATGGTTCAGATAATGTAATTGTTTACAGAGTGAAACCTATAAACATTTCAGTGATGTCTGAAAATTCGATGTAATAATGAAATATCGAAAAAATTATTTAGGCATGCAATATACTATTCTCATTCCATCATGAATCACAATTCAAACATTTCATAAAGGGTGATTTGAAAAATTGGTGACAGCTAAGACCGATTAATTCATACACATCCTGTATATTCGAGTGAATTGTTAACCTCCCAAGATAGCTGATACCGTATGAACATGATTTCGTTGGGATATATAGGGTGATCATGAAGATTTTCGATCATGAAAATGACAAAAAATCGTTATTTTTGAAATCACCCTGTTATTCATGATTAACTGAAATTCCCTAATTATTTTTTAATATATTCATCATTCGCTCCCCAACGCTGTCTTGAAAATTCAGTTTTCTATCATGACGGGTGTCATAGTTATTAATTCAGGAACTTACCATTTGCATGAAGAGTTGAAGAGACACACAAATAGTGAAACGTGAGAATGTGGAGACGAAAATAAGTTTAGTATTCATATACAGGGTGAACATTATAAATTCAATAACAATAGCAGATATATGAATTTGATAATATTACTAAACTAAACTAACTATCTGTACATTAATCTAACTAACTATCTGTACATTATATTAATATTATTAAATTCATATATCTGCTATTGTTATTGAATTTCTAATGTTCACCCTGTATATGAATACTAAACTTATTTTCGTCTCCACTTTCTCACGTTTCACTATGTGTGAAAAATATCGGCCACTATGCGAATGTAAGTGAACAAGTCTCTTCAACTCTTCATGCAAATGGTAAGTTCCTGAATTAATAACTATGACACCCGTCATGATAGGAAACTGAATTTTCAAGACAGCGTTGAGGAGCGAATGATGAATATATCAAAAAATAATTAGGGAATTTCACCGAGTTAATCATGAATAACAGGGTGATTTCGAAAAACACGATTTTTTGTCATTTTCATCATCGAAAATCTTCATGATCACCCTATATATCTCAACGAAATCATGTTCATACGGTATCAGCTATCTTGGGAGGTTAACAGTTCACTCGAATATACAGGATGTGTATGAATAAATCGGTCTTAGGAGTCACCAATTTTTCAAATCACCCTGTATGAAATGTATGAATTGTGATTCATGATGGAATGAGAATAGTATATTGCATGCCTAAATTATTGTTTCGATATTTCATTATTACATCGAATTTTCAGACATCACTGGAATGTTTATATGTTTCACTCTGTAAACAATTACATTATCTGAACCATCTGAATAATTATGTTGAGTAATATGGAGGTTCGTTGATGATATGAGTGAAAAAAATTGTACTTGGCATCTTTGAATTTCGAGAAAATAATTAAATGAAAAATACCGATTTGTAACTTCAACGCCCTGTATCTCAGAATCTGTTCATCAAAGAACTATACGATTCTGCAGGTTCAATCAGTTCATCGAATTCTATAACATACTGAAAATTCAGAAAATTTCACCGAGAACCATTTTACGTACGACAACACGGCGCACGAATTATGGGCGTGGTCTTGTCAGTTCTCAGCATTCAGCACAATGTTTCCAAGTCTCCAACATTTACTTACATGCTATTTTGTTATGGGGAATGAGAAATATTTGGACATGTTGGTTGCTCGAAAAAGTTATGACTGGATCTAGATCTTTTTTATAACTTGAATTATCTGACCAATAATGAAACAGCATAAAAACTGACGTCACCATTTATTCAACGTATTCGCATTCTCCATGTGATGAAAATATCAATTCTTTCTCGGTCTATCAGTCCATTCAACAGAAAACAGCTACTTTCCTTGCTATATGCCAACACGAACATTGAATTATATCTATTGAACACACACGATAAGAATTTGAAAACAAAATCTTCTGAAGTAGAGAATTTGCATTCTCCTTCAAATAAAGATATGTACATAATATTTTCATCACATGGAGAATGCGAATATTTAATGTATTCCTTCATAAATATAGGTTTCCATTTTTTTATGTTCATAATTATATCTGAGAATATTCCTTTTCAATACGTTCACCCAATCAAGGGGTTCAAGATTCGTGATCAGGTTTTCTCAATTTATATAGAATTTCTTTCCACGTCCTGCATGATGAATATCAATTCAAAAACATTTACTCGACCTTGATGAATTCTATACCAAAATTTGGTCTTTTGATTGAATGAAATATTTGATTTGAACAGTGATGACGTCTTCGAAAATATGAGTAAACCAAAAAATGCGCGAATGAAAAATAAAATCGACGTGCATGTGAATTTTTCCCCAACGGCCATATCAAGCTTTTAAAGAATTTGTTCCAACCTTTACATCCTCGTATAATATATGTGCATCATCATTTTTGTGCAGGACTATTTAAATTCGAGTTTATCCATTGGAATTTCGATAACGGTAAGAGATAGAGGGATGGTTAAATGGGGGCAAAGTTGTGTATTTCAGAGAACACTTATATGGAAGAAAAAATCTGATCTAGATCATTTAGTTCTAGAGTTATACAGAAAAAATCGGAAAATTTCGGAACTCTTCATTCGCCTATATCTTTTTATTTTACGAAGTTTTTTTTTTTTTAAATTTTGCCACTTTGCCATAGTAACTTTTCGTAGCCTTTCCAAATATCTGAATAAAATGTATATAAAGGATATCGTATGAATAGGCGAGTGGACTTTTTTTTATTCCTTGAATAGAATCATCACTCAAATACCTTCCAATTTCATATCTTTTTAGAATTCTTCGGTAGATTTTAAGGTGCCAAAATCATTAATAATGCCACGGTAATTTTCATACGGCTAGTAATTTACCGCGAGTAAAAACATACGTCACGATTTTGTAAGTAGGGACAGACCAGCACAGTTGCCATATGTTGAAATACTATTGAGAACTTCAGAAATGTGAGTTATTCAATAATTCATAAAATCTCAATCATGTATTGGCAATATTCCTAATTATCAATAAATATCAATTGTCTCAAAATGTTTCCTCATGTGCTGTGGCTTATTGCTTATAATACATTTGTGTAAATGATAATTATTATAATTCAAAATAGAGTACATTTTAATCGGTGAACGTGACAACACGGCACACGAATTGTGAGCGGTGCCTTGTCAGTTCTCAGCATTCAGCACATTGTTGCCAAGTCCTCGACATTCTCATGATATTTTTTTGTTTCGGACTAATAAAAATATTTGGACATGCTGGTTCCTCGAGAAAGTCAAGAATGAAATATTATATCATGGCTTCCTCCTATTATGTTTTATATCGAGTTTAAGTCAACGACAGGAGTGACAAGACTGTAATATCTTTTTGATAACTTGATTATAATTGGTGACTTGACAACCTTGCTTCATGAGTGGGAATGGAAGATTATCCGACCAATAACGAAACAGCTTAAAAAATGACGTCACCAAATGGCGGTACGTTTAAATGAGCTCTGAAATTCAACAATTTTGAACTACGCATAGGCTCATTATGTACATGAAAAGAGCGTGAGAAGTCCCTTACGACACAGTGGAGTAATTGAATGCCAATAATTCATTATCAGTCCATCGGCCATTGAGCCACCCTCAACTTTTAATTCTCAAATACAATGGCAAAGTGGCAAAATCTTGAGAAAATCTTCGTAAAATAAAAAGATTGACAAAAAAAGGAATTAGCAGTTTTCGATGTTTCTTGTTCAACTCCAGAACTAAAGAAGCTAGATTAGATTTTTTATCCATATAACTGACTTCTGAAACAAACAACTTTGCCCCCATTTAACCACCCCTCTATCTCTCACCGTTATCGAAATCCCCATACATAGACTCAAATTTGAATAGCCCTGTATACAGTCTGTCCAAGATAAGGTTGAACATCATGGGGATCTCGAAAACAGTAGGAGATACGAAGTGGGTTAAATGGGGAAAAAGTTGCGCATTCGGAGGCTCATATCAAGAGCCTTCGGAAATTTTCAAAATTATTTTTAGTTTTTTAGTTATATCGAAAAAAGTGAATTTTTGGAATATTTATTTTATTTTTTTTCTCCGTTATTATTAGAGATACTGAAAAACTGAAAATACTTTTGCATAGAAAGTTTTTCACAGATTCTGAAAGGTTTTTTTATTCTAAAATCAACCATGTATTTTACAAGGTGATTCCAATGTGTTTCGACCTATTTCTATCCATCATCAATGTTTTTTCGAATTTACAAAGGAAAAGTGCCATCAGTTCTATTTATTTCTCATCATTTACTGTCAAACATTGATGGATTAGTTATTCAATACTGAAAAATGAATAAAAAATATTTCACTACATCATTCATTCAATGCAGTGCTTAAAATTGTTGATGAATTCTTACATGGATTACTTCAACAACTTAACTTTGACAATACCTTCAGAAACATTCATAACAAATGTTCAAAATGATAACCATTATTTTCTGAACAAAGATATCCTCTTCTCACAGTTGCTTCTAAGACATTACTAAGCATTTCTGGGGTAATTCTATTGAATGCTTCGATGACACTGTCCCTTAGTTCTTCTTCATCATCAAAGCTATTTGCGTGTACAAAGTTTTTGATATATCCCCTAAAAAAAATCCAGCTGTGTCAAATCAGGTGACCGCGCCGGCCAAGGAACTGCAGAATGGGTACCAATCCATTTTTCTGGATAAAAACGCACGAACTTCTCTGGAATTATGTACCGGATCGCCATCTTGTTGAAACCAACAGTTCTGAACTTCCGCAATCAGTAAATCATCCAGAGCTTCCTCAAGATGATTCTCAAATAGATTTCTATAACGTTAGGAAGTCTGTGTTTCATGGTGAATAAAAGGACCAATAATTCGTGTACCCACATATTAAAGCCGAAACGGTGTTGGTGTCTCACTGTAATGTATAAATGTTCATTTTCTCGTGAACAATAATGTGTATTTTTTCTATCGAAGATACCATGATCAGTGACCATGCTTTCATCAGTCCAGATGATTGTTCGCGGGAAATCTGTAAAATTTTGACATTTCCTGGTAAACCACTCACAGAATGTCCTGCGCCTTTCGTCATCGCCTGGTTTTAGCGGTTGACATATAATATTTGTTTCCGCAAAATGAAATGGGTTGTTGATTGAAACCAGTTGATGAGGTATTAGTGTGTTGACTAATTTTTCTTCAAAATAAGTGGAACTGATGGCATTTTTCCTTTGGTGTTTCGAAAAAACATTGATGATGGTAAAAATAGGTCGAAACACACATAAACCACCTTGTATAATACATGGTTGAATTCGAAATGAAAAAACCTTTCAGAATCTGTCAAAAAATTATCAGGACTGTATTTAAAAAACAAAAGTTGATGATGGTTCTACGAAAACGAAATGTCGCATAGAAAAATTGGTATCACCACGTTAAACGCCATCAAAAGTTGCTATGCAAAAGTATTTTCAGTTTTTCAGTATCTCTAATAATAACGGAGAAAAAAAATGAAATAGATATTCCAAAAATTCACTTTTTTCGATATGACTAAAAAACTAAAAATAATTTTAAAAATTTTCGAAGGCTCTTGATATGAGCCTCCGAATGCGCAACTTTTTCCTCATTTAACCGACTTCGTATCTCCTACCATTTTCGAGATCACCATGCTGTTCAACCTTATCTTGGACGTATTACTCAAATGAATCAGACATACTTTTGCGAAAGAAATATATTCTTGAAAATAGTGATAAGTATGTCAAATAAAATTGTTATTATTTGTGTTAAGCAAATATATACTTGAATATTGAAAATTCAATTCTTCTCTGAAATGATGAAATGATTGAACATTATTCAGACTGAATTGGTTTTGATCAATTACTAGTGAAAATTGTCTTTTACTTTGGCCTTGCTTCACAGTGCATGTAGCAAATCTGCGGCAGTTTTAATAACAATGAGAAATATGGGTTCAACAATAATGAACCGAAATTATGTCAATCAATGTCTTCATTTGGAATGAACAGAATAATATTATATAAATATCCATAGCATCTTCTCAAAAGCTCTTAAGTCCTCTACTAGATAGATAACATACAGATCAGAACCTCTGTTCACGTGAAGAATCAAAACAAGATTGTCCTTCGCATCACTGCAGAAATATTCTAGAAGATTGACCAAATAGTTCATCATAAACTTACTTTGTTGTCTGACATGGATTTCAGCTCAAATAATGAATCAACCAATAGATTTATATTTTCTCAACAAGCTCAAATTAACCCTATCCTCTCTTGCAGACTTACGAATTTTTGAGTTCAAAATCTCTCAGAGTAGAGTTAGGAGGTTTAAATTATATCTAATAGATGTCGCTACCAGACACATAGTATACGATGATTTGGTGATGGGTGCGCTGAATATCGTAGATGGTGGATGGTGAGAATGTTCAAACCTAAAATTCCCTAGAATTCGGACTTACGAGGTTTTGATAGTAAGCCGACGATATACCTTTTCCACAATTTCTCAATAATTGGTCTATCATGTATATATTTCACTATTTCTTCTTGTTTTGAAAGAATTGCAATATCTAATACACTATATCTTCGTTTATTCTTTATATTAACATCACCTCCACTATCCACTAAGATTTTCAAACAATCTAAATGACCGCAATATGCTGCCCAATGGAGAGGAGTGTTACCTTTTATATTTGGAATATTAACATCAGCTCCACTATCCACTAAGTTTTTCAAACAATTCAAATGACCCCGAAATGCTGCAGAATATAGAGGAGTTTTACCTTCGTTATTCTGGATATTAACATCAGCTCCACTATCCACTAAGATTTTCAAACAATCCAAATGACCCTGAAGTGCTGCCCAATGGAGAGGAGTACTACTGTCGTTATCCTTGATATTAACATCAGCTCCACTATCTACTAAGATTTTCAAACAATCCAAATGACACTGATCTGCTGCCCAATGGAGAGGAGTACTACTGACGTTATCCTTGATATTAACATCAGCTCCACTATCTACTAAGATTTTCAAACAATCCCGGAAACCCAAATATGCTACCCAATGGAGAGGAGTACTACTGTCGTTATCCTTGATATTAACATCAGCTCCACTATCTACTAAGATTTTCAAACAATCTGGATGATCCTGACGTGCTGTCCAATGGAGAGGAGTTTCACCGTCGTTATCCTGGATATTAACATCAGCTCCACTATCTACTAAGATTTTCAAACAATTCCGGAAACCCAAAAATGCTGCCCAATGCAGAGGAGTATTACTGTCGTTATCCTTGATATTAACATCAGCTCCACTATCTACTAAGATGTTCAAACAATCTGGATGATCCTGACGTGCTGTCCAATGGAGAGGAGTTTCACCGTCGTTATCCTGGATATTAACATCAGCTCCACTATCTACTAAGATTTTCAAACAATCTGGATGATCCTGACGTACTGTCCAATGAAGAGGAGTTTCACCGTCGTTATCCTGGATATTAACATCAGCTCCACTATCTACTAAGATTTTCAAACAATCCAAATGACCCTGATCTGCTGCCCAATGGAGAGGAGTACTACTGTCGTTATCCTTGATATTAACATCAGCTCCACTATCTACTAAGATTTTCAAACAATCTAAATGACGATGACCTGCTGCCCAATGGAGAGGAGTTTCACCGTCGTTATCCTGGATATTAACATCACCTCCACTATCCACTAAGATTTTCAAACAATCCCGGAAACCCCAATATGCTGCCCGATAAAGAGGAGTTTTACCAATACTATCCTGGATATCAACATCACCTCCACTAGGTGTATGACCTTGACGTTTTTTTTTTTTTTTTTTTTTTTCCAGAACATTTACTCTGGTTCCTTCTTCCAACAAATGTTTCAGTATGTTAACATTGCCCACGTGTGTTGCGAAGTGCAGAGCTGTCTCTCCATAATAATTTCTCTCGTGGATATTAACACTCCTTCTCGTCAGTTCTTCGACCATTTCAAAATTTTGATTTTTCACAGCACAGTGTAGAGGAGTTTCTCCTTCAAATTTCGTATATACATCAGCACCATTCTCGATAAAATAGGAGAACAGCTCTGTGGAATTCTCTTTCACACTTAAGTGGAATGGGGTGTAACCTTTTCTGTCTCCAACATTGATTCTGGCCCCTCGACTGACAAGATATTTTACCAATTCTATTTTGCACTTCTCGGCTGCATAATGTAGGATTGTACGACCATATCCATCCCTTCCGTTCACATCTGCTCCCTTGTCCAATAAGAACTCTATTATTTCTTGAAATTCAACGGCTTTTTCTAATAAAGTTCCATCAGATAAACAATTATTGTCACGAAGAAAAGATTTATTATTTTTACTCTTCTCTAGAATTAGTTTCAACATATTTTTGCGGCGTTCACTTAATAAAATATGTATGTTTTTGTAAGTTATAGAGTCAAATGTAGAACCGCAAATTTCAAAAACCTTCATTGGGATTTGGGAGTATTCGTTGGTGAGGATTCCCTCAAAAAAAGCTCTGATCATTTCAAATTTCGTGTCTATAAACAAGTCTTTCAAAAGGAAAATCACAAATTTGTTGCGTTTTGCAATTTCTTTCAATTGTGCCCACATTGCCTTAGCCAAAAAATATTCAGCGAATGTTTGATGAACGAACAATAGCTCGTGTCCAATTTCTTGTAACATTCCCATTTTGATGATAGTTTCCTTGTAGATATTATTAACGGTTCTGGAAACATCCATCAATGAATATTGGTGATCATTGAGTAATAATCGAGCAGCAAGTTTTTGATGCTCATTTTTAGCGTCTTCATATTGTTTCAAAACTGCCTCCTTCAGGATAACATTTCCTTGAGTATCGCATTTATCTCCGATGAAGATATCCCGTTTCTTCTCCACAAACATATCGTATAATTCAGTTATGTTTATCTTATCTGGTAATTCCAAGGTCTCATTTTCAGATAGTAAAAAATCTTTACAACACACCCACTGGTATTTCTTGTCATCAGAGCCCTGAAATATTTCCGCAATCATTCTGGTCTGGAGTGGAATGCCTATGAAATTCCAAGAGGTGTATCCTATCGAATTTCCTAGTTTGCTTATCAATGTTTTTGCATAAATCTCACATTTAGTTAGCTTTTCATCATCATCTATTATGAGGTTCTGCTTCCAGTATTTCATGAGAAAATCAGTTTGTTCTAATTTTGAGTATGGAAGTAATTGATATGATTCAGTTTTCAGGAAGGATTCCAAATCCTTCTTTAAATGAGGACGAGTTGTAACAAATATTTTAGAAATATTTTTACGTTCAGACGTTTGAAGCATAAAATTTTCAACTAGTTCAGTGTAGTCCGGACTTATTTCATCCACAGCATCGACCATCAGGATGATGTTTTTTGTATTTGAGAAAATATTTTGTTCTAAACTATTTTTAAAATAATTCTTATCTTTCGACTGTAGTATCTCTTCTAAATTAATTGATTTCTTACTCGCTGTTTCAAATTCTCTAAATATGCTAGTAAACATATTCAGATCAATTCTTATGAGGAAAGAACTGGGATATATTTTTTTTATTAAAAACCCAAGTTTAGTTAAGACAGTAGTTTTGCCCTTTCCTGCTCCATCAGAAATTAAAACGAATTTTCCAGGTTGACCAACGAAATTGCAGACATCTTGTTCTGTGAATTCCTTTTTTCTGTGTTCGATTATTTTTGTTTTCTCTTCAATTTTGGTTTTTTTATCTTGTACTTTGATCTCTGTTTGAAATTTTCTCTCTATGTAATAATTCTCAATTGCACCCAAGTCTCTAATGGCTGTACCTATTGTGATATTTTCATCATTTATCAAGTTGATAATAGTTGCCTGGTCTATTATAAAATCAATGTTATTCAATGAATTAATCATGAGCTCTTTGATAGGCAGATCTTTTCCTTGAAAATTAACTTTTTTTGACAAAAGGGTAGTTTGGCATGCTTCTGTTAGATCAGTTAATTTTATTTCATCCTGAATTACATCATCCTGTATTGGGACTTCTGACAAAATTATGACTTTCTTGTATTGTTGTCTATTTAATATATTATTTATACGGGATTGAATTATACGAAATTGATCAGAGTTTCTGAGGGAAACGACAAGTATGCAGTATACAGGAAGCTCAAATGATGCTATTATTTTGTCCAGAATTTCACTTCCATCACTTGGATCGATGAACAGAAGTTGATCTTTTTTGTAAAGTTGGTCGTTTTTGCTGGGGCTATGAACTCTCAGTAAACTTCTATGGATCTTGAGTATATTTAAGAAATGATAATTTGATACAATATTGATTATTTGATTTCCACCAAAGGCATATAATTCCTTGAAGTCTATTCCAAAAGAATTTAGTTTTTCTAGGTAATACTGACGTCGCGAGTCGAATAAAAAAGCTATAACGTGCCACTTTCTGATACGTCTTTCTTTTTGCAGTTTTCCCTGAAGTAATTCGTCTATTTTCTCTTTAAAATGAAGTTTGGAAAATTTTAAACCAAAAATTTCCTGTGCTTCTTCTACTTTGTTTTCAATACCATCTTCTATTGCGGAATCGTCGATATGAAGAAACCTAAATTCCTCACAAAATTTCAGGGAATGATCATCGAATGCATTCAATATTTTTTGGATTTCTTGAATTTTTGAGCTTTTGAATTGATAAGATTTGTTCGTTCCGGGAACTATAGCAATCTTCTTGGGTTCAAGAAAATCACCATCCGAAGGACCAATATTTGAGCATAATATCATCAATAGCTTCCGTTTGAATGACTTACAGATTTTCATCTTATAGGAGTTGTAATATTTCGGAAGGAGGGTTTTCCAATCGAGTACCGGAGCCTTTGATTCTTTCTTTCCTTTTTTATGTTTGCATTGTATCAAAATATCTATTCCACCATCTCCACTTTCGAAAACAACATCATCAAATTTTCCTGCATTCTCATTCTCTGTTGATAATTCCCATTTTTCATCTTGTAATGAAATGGCCTGTAGAGCGATCAGTCCAAAAACCTTCAGCTGGTAGTCCGTTCCACTGCGTCCTGCGTCGTTATTGGCCATTTTTTCTGTTGTTCTGAAAAAGTTTCAGTATATTAGGTACATACAGTGTGTTACAATTTGGTCCACCCCACCCTTCCTCCAACCCAAAACCTGCCCTGGACTTTCATAATCCTAGAGTGATTTGAAAAATTTTCTTCTTTCAAAATATTCTACATAAAATTATCTACTATTTCGAGCAGAAAAACTTCTTACCCTACTGCGAGCACAAAAACTGCAGCAAAATTGAAACAAACAGATTATTAATTTTTTTACAATAATTTTGATAATGGCAATCGATTCGGACTAGTCACAAATACTCCTATATCAATTTTCAAAACAATATATCATTGGGGGTGTTTTTTATTAACATTACAATTCTTGAATAATTGGATTCTTCAAGTCACCGTGTATAATTATTCTTATGAGAATTCAAATGCTACCAGGCATGATTGTATTTAGGTAGATCATCTGATTACAGAGTGAGATAAATAACGAATACAATCACTAGAAATTCAGATTTTTTATCAATGAATAGAAAGTGAATTTTCGCATCTAATCATTTTTTCACCACTCGCTCTACTAATTTTCAATATTCTATTACTCAGGTTGTAATATATTCGGATTTTAAAATTACACAATACCAAAGACAATATTAGCTGTCAAAGTTGTTTAAGAAAAGCGAAGCGTAATTTATTTCCAGAGCTTTCACACGATTTCCAATTCCTAGGATTCATCAGAATTGAACAATTACAGAAAACATTTCTCCTTGTCATTATTTTTTTGCGAGTTTTTTGCGCCTTCACAACCCATGATCATAATTACCATAATTTTACTTCAGGTCAAGAAATAGAAAACAATTGTGACAAAAAAGAATATTTCGCAAAGAGATAACACCAGAAGAACTGAGGAGAGTTGAAAGAGATATGAAAAGTGTAGGTATAGAGAATAAACGATATTTGATCGAGAATAATCGCTGATTTATTCATTGTCTAATATCTTGATGTTATTTCTGGAAAGATATTATATATTCAGTTTTTCTCTTTCTTTTCGTTCCTCAATGAAAAATCTAAATTACCATTGATTTTATCCATTATTTTCCTGACTCTGTAGCCATCATCAATGCTGACAGCTAGTATTGTGCTCGGTATTGTGTAATTATTTTCAAATCTGAATGTATTATGACCTCAGTAATAGGATTTAGGAAATCAGTGCATCAAGTAGTGAAAAATTGATAAGATGCAAAAACTAACTTTTTATTTCGTGATAAAGAATCAAAATTCAATAATAATAATAATAATAATAATAATAATAATAATAATAATAATATCTATTTATTTTATTCGTAATTTCTCTAACTTCGTTGCCAGATGATCTACCTGACTTGAAAAATACAATCATCCAAAAATTGTAACGTTGATAAAAAAAACCTTATGGTATATTGTTTTGAAACTTGATGTAGGAGTTTTCGTGACTAGTCCGAATCGATTGCCAATTTTCTTTAATTTCGCTGTAGTTATTGTGATTGATATTTTTTTTGCTCGGCAAAATAGAAAATTTTGAGTATATTACATACAAAAATCAAATCAATCTAGGATTATGATAGTACAGGAGTTTGGTGGACCAAATTGTTACACACTGTTCACTCAGACTATATAACAATTCGTGAAAATCATTAAGTGTGTGGCCTCTGGTGTCGAACTTTCGAACCTTCCCGAAGGTGATCAATAAACCAATCTAGCATTGTCTATAATTTTTCAAGAAGATTTTGATGCCTTTTCGATAGTTTTTGAAATCATCTTGTGTCTATAAATAAACTCAGTTATTGTTTAAAAAAAAACAATCAATCAAATGAACAAACTAGTGAGAGTTGAATCAAGGAAGTAATTTTCAGTTTTTTAGTACTCTTCCTAGAGTTCAGATTTCCTTTCATTAAACAAATCACCTTCTGGAGATAGAAAATTGTGGGAAAAAGTCCTGCTGAGTTACTGATAATTGAAAAACTCATATGGCATATCTGTAAAAATATTGGGGAAAGAAACGTTTTTTTCACTTATAATCTTCCTGTGGAATGAATACTTGCCGGAAATTTTTTGAGTACATGAATTTTTTGAAAATTATCACGAGTTGCGGAATTCATGTACGAGACAAATTTCTCGCAATCAATTCATTCACGTGGGGAATTCGGTAATAAAATTTCATACCGGAATTATATTTAAAAAGAAAACATTAAAAAGTTTAGTAATTTTCCTAACAAGTGCGGAAAATGATTCTTTCCCGCACGCGACTGCCGTTGACACGAACGACGCGAAGCGAAGACACTTTCCGCATGAGTTAGGAACAATATTTTTTCTACAAGCGTAGGAAATTGATTGATTCATTCAGTTAATTATTCTTGCATATAGGAACAACTAACAAGAGAAATATATCCTCTATCTACTGATCATCAGTAAAAGCTATTGTGAACAGTTTGACGCATTATGTAAGTTCATTGCGGAAGCCAGCAGGCCCATAAGATGTTTGTTCTGTAGGCTTCAGATACTTCTAGGAAATGAGCCACAAATACTTCTTCTTGATTCGGTATTTTCATTTCTTTATTGTATCACCATTCAATAAAACGCGGGTATAGCTTCTCATACCTTTCTTAATACTTCTTTGGCAATAACGCATCTGTATCGCATCCCTTTAGCTTTTTTTTATCGCTTGGAGCGCACGAAAGGGAATCCCTATAATGTTCAAAGAACATCGTGCGTTCCTAGGGAGGATAGGGACAGGAGGTAGGTATTGGAATTTTTTTTTGAACTTTTGTAGATTATATGTTGTTGGGAATACTTCCACAGGCAATGAATTCCAGAGCCTAGCCGTTCTATGGATGAAGGAGTCTTGATAAAGTGCTGTTCGACATCTTTCGAGGTTGACAACGAATGGATGTGCTGACTGGGCTTGTCTAGTTCGTCTGATTGGTATTGCTAGTGAAGGGATGATAGCAGAGATTTCCGAAGAACATTTCCCGTGGAAGTATCGATAGAAAAGTGAAAGGTCGCCGACCTTTCTACGGTGTTCCAATGATGTCAAAGAGTGAGTGAGTGTGGCGTCACCCATCAAGCGAATGGCTCTTCTCTGGATGGAATCTAAGAGCATCAGCGTATGTTTTGGTGCTGAACCCCATATGTGGGAACAGTATTCTAGAACAGGCCGTATCTGCGCTTTGTAGATCATGAGAAGCTGTTGAGGTGTAAAGTAGCTTTTCGCACGGAACAAGAATCCGAGTTTTTGTGAAGCAGCTTTTGCGATGGATCTGACATGATTATCCCATGAAAGAGTGTTGCTGATGGAAATACCGAGCATAGATATGGTGGACTTGGTGGGGATGGTGGAGTTCTTAGTTTCCTGGGAAGAAATGGGAATTCTGGAAGAGAACGCAGTATGGAGGGTACTATCATCTGCAAAGCTGTGGATGGGGCAAGTTGTTACTCCCAACAGATCATTGATATGAAGCAGGAATAATGTTGGTGCCAAAATTGATCCTTGTGGAACGCCGGAATTGATGCCAAAGGTATCAGACGATTCACCGTCCACCACCACGTGAAGCGATCTGCCTGAAAGAAAACTCGATAAGAGATGGCATAGCTGAGGTGGTAAGCCGTATGATGGTAGTTTGTGGAGGAGTCCTTCGTGCCAAACACGGTCGAATGCTTTCGAAATGTCCAACGCGACAGCTAGAGATTCCCCGTGTTTTTCTATTGAAGATTGCCATAAATGGGTGACGTAGGCAAGTAGATCTCCAGTAGATCTTCGGTGGCGAAAGCCGTATTGTCTATCATTGATGATTCCTGAGCTCTCCAGATATTTGATAAGCTCAATATTGATGGCTTTCTCCATCACTTTGGAGATTACTGATAACAGGGCAATGGGCCTGTAGTTGTTGGGCAGGTTCTTGTTCCCTTTTTTGGGGATTGGTTGGATAGCTGTCTTCCAGCATGAATCCAGAGAATCGGTGTTAATTCTGGTGCACATTTTTTGAGGATAATGGGTGGAATTCCATCAGGACCGTTAGCCTTATTCGTTTTGAGACCAAGCAAAATTCGTCTGATAGTGCGTTGACGGAAGACGATTTCGGGCATTCGACTCTCAACGGGTGGAATGTCTGGCGGCAGTTTTCCTTGGGAATCTAAAGTAGAGTTTGCTGCGAACATCTCTGCAAAAATATTTGCTTTCTCCTGCGATGTTGTTGCTAATGTGCCGTCGGATTTGGACAGTGGTGGAAATGAACTATTAGTGAAATTTCTTCCGACCGCTTTAGCAAGGGACCAAAACGAACGGGAGCCATTGGGGCAATCTATGAGTTTCGATCTTATCTTGGCATTGTATGTTTCTTTCGAAGCATCTATTGTTTGGCTGCAGTTATTCCTGGCATCAACGTATTCTGCTCTAGTCGCGAGGGTTTTTGCGCCAGCGATGGTAGGCTGTTTGTTTCAAGGCAACAGTTCTAGAACAGTTTTTGTTGAACCAGGGTTTCGAAGGTGATGATCTTCTCGAAAAATGAGGTATGTATGTGTCCATTCCGAGCATGATGATCTCGGATATTTCCGCAGCACACTGTGAAGGGTCCTCAGAGTCAAAGCATACTCTATGCCAAGGAAACTCGGAGAAAAACATGCGGAGACCGTCCCAATCTCCAGAAGTTTTTGATCACATTGTGGCAATTCCACTGAATTGAAAATGACAGTAACGCTGTGTCTGTCACTTCGACAATCACAAAACTCATTTGAGGTTTGATTGGCATGACAACAATAATCGTTTCCAGATCAATCCAAATCTATAGGGGGATTTTTATAATAATCAATTTTTATTTTTCAATATTTCTCAATTTTCACAATAAATAGTGCAATTTGATGGATGATTCTGAACATACATACTCAATACTGCAACAAACAAACCTAAACTCTCATATTCCATCACCTACCACTTATATTTTGCGATATTATCATATCATTGTTTTTCC